AAATAAAGAAGAGGCTACAATGCTTGATAGGAAATGTACTCATTATCTTGCCCATGTAATTGTAACCCCTCTGTACAGTATATTCACAATAAAAAAAATTCAATTATGATCAAAGTTTTTGATCATGGCTTTAGTATCCTGAAACACTTCATTGGCTCATTCCATTAATTTATTCATAAATAATAATATTAACTGTCAAACAACAATGATTGAATAGGGTATATCAAGTATAATTTTGGCTTTGAAAAGGCATTATCAACAGGGGAAGGGAGAAAACTGTGATTATGCATGTTGATAAATAATTAAAATGACTCAAAGGTTAAACAATCGTTTAACTCCAAAGGTTTTTTTATTTTATTTCAAATTTTATTTCAAATTTTCAATAATAAAAATTTCAATTTTATTTCAAATTTATATAGATTAAAAAAGCAGCTATATCCTAACCAACACAGACAAATGAAATGTAACATTTGTTACACAATTATATCTAAATGTCAAAACAAGTAGATATCTGGAAATAAAGTACTGGATGTTCAACCAGGTCGGAAAATTTTACAACTTTTTGGCTATTTCTACTATCAAATTAAATTCTCAGTATAAAATATTATAACTGTAGAAATGTAAAAACCACTACATTTGAATGTATATTAAGGATCAAACTTTTAAGCCCTCCAAACCAACTTATTATTATCTGACTCTATGAATACTGATAGATAAACTAGAGATTACACTAAAGAAATAATAGAAAAATATTTTAATCAGAAGTATTCAATCAGAAAGCAATTAGTTCTGTAGAAAGAATTAATTAAAGTTCTAGTCAGAAGATTAGAGAACAAAATTTCTTTCTAAAGACAATATAATCTGACGGTATAATTATGCTGATATAGATATAAAAATAGATACATTTACTAAAAGTACAAATTCTTTAGGAAAATATTTTAGCACCTCTATGATCAAAGGAAAATGTAAACAGGAAAACTCAAATGCTAAAATCCAATAATTTTTGGTATGAAAACAGCATTTTCACTCTTTTAAATCATTTATTCATAAAAGAAATGCACATCTCTAGGTCTGATGTTATTACATATCTGTAGTTTATTTTTTATTGTGAAAATATCGTACAGAGGGGTTAATATTACATGGGCAAGCTAATGAGTGCATTTCTTATCAAGCATTGTTGCCTCCTCCTTTGTTTCCCCTTCCCATCCTCTCCCATCTCCCCCTACCACCACCTCCTCTGCACCAAAGTTGTAATGTTCATTTTCAACATAACATCTGGTATATCTCATTGGTGCAATGGGTCCACCTGTATCCCTATTTAAACAATTTGTTTTTTCCCTTCCCCTCCACAAATTGCCTCCATCAGAAAGAATGACATTGCCCCATTTGTTAGGAAATGGAAAGACTTGGAAAAAGTTTTATTAAGTGAAGTAAGCCAGGCCCAAAGGAACACAGGTCCCATGCAATAACTAGTATATGTCTGAGAGAAGCAGAAACGGTCAGATAAGTTGTTGTTAGGCGAAATGAACTCAAATATTTTTTCTTTCTTGCTATTGTTTCTAACATATTTATAAGGTATTTCTTCATTGCTTTGTATGTCCCTCCCCCATGGTATAACCCCTGTTTTCACTGTATTTGATGTTGGTACATATCTATAGTTTATGATGGAACATTACGGACAATGAATATGCTATTATCTAGTAGTATATATATCATAAGCAAGAGATTTAAAAATTGGAATAGCTTCATATAAAATTAATTTCAAGGATAAAAACTTTAAGGTTTCAATTTATGGAAATGTTAACCATTATTTTAATGCTAAATTATTTTAATTCAATTAATATCTTAGGTCATGACCCTTGGAATTAAGAAATTCTTCAAGACAATGTTGAGTGTGATCCAAGAAAAAATGTGATTTGAGTCTGGAGACAATTGTACATGTAAGTATTAGGAAATTAGATTTTCTTGTGGTGAAATGTAATTAAAAACTAAAACACGAACTCATTAATTACTCAATTGCAGAAACTTTGATTCATATTTTTTCATCTACTAAAGCATAGTTTTAGATATTTAAGCTTCATAATGCTTTCTGACTTTAGGGGTTATATTTTTCTTCAGATCACTCTAGTATTAAAAATCCAGGATAGCTGATAGAAGAGAACACAGTATTTGGAAGACTGCTTCAATTAACAAGAGAAATTGCTCCCAGGTGAGTTTGGCAAGAGTGATAAGTGGCATAGATCCTAAGAAATAATTCATAGTGTGCTCTTCTTGTATGTGATAAAAATAATAAAACATAGGAAAGGATTTTAAACTGGTTATTATTGATGTTTAGCTATATAATAAAAACCATGGCTAGTTTCCTAACAGAATTAAATCTATATTTCAATGGTAAATATTTCCTGAGGATGTTTTTCTCAGATGAAAAATAATGTTTAGATATAGTAAAAATGAGTATTATATTCAGTGGCTTGCCATGGCCATTCATATTTCTTACATATCTCATAGCATAAGGAGGAACCATTAGGAACTATATTCCAGAAAGTCTGTCTTAGAATTAAGCTGTTGGGTGGTGCCTGCAAATCAATTGTATTACCATTAGAAATACTTGTATTTGTTCATTGCTTGTAACCTGCTCCAATCTGGTAGATGGCTTTGGGACTTTTTCTTTGGTGATTAGAAAAGAATTCATGTCCCTCCCCCACGGTATAACTCCTGTTTTCACTGTGTTTGATGTTGGTATAATTTGGGGAGGGGAAGGGAAAAAACAAATCGTTTAAATAGGGATACAGGTGGACCCATTGCAACATTGAGATGTACAAGACGTTATGTTGAAAAACGAACTTTACAGCTTTGGCGCAGGGCGGGGTGGGGGGTGGGCGGGGAGGCTGAGAGGATGGGAAGGGATGGGAAGGAGAAACAAAGGAGGAGGCAACAATACTTGATAAGAAATGTACTCATTACCTTGCCCATGTAATTGTAACCCTTCTGTACGGTATTTTCACAACTAAAAAAAAAAAAAAAGAATTCATTTCCTGGGGCTGGGAAGGTGGCTCAGTGGTAGAGTGCTTGCCTCGCATGCATGAGGCCCTGGGTTCAATTCCTCAGCACCACATAAGCACAAAAACGCTGGAAGTGACAATGTGGTTCAAGTAGTAGGGCGTTAAGCTTGAGCTGAAGAGCTGAGGGACAGCGCCCAGGCCCAGAGTTCAGGCCCCACGACCAACAAAAGGAAAGAAAAGAAAATAAAAGAATTCATTTCCTGTAATGAAGAATTATGAATCCACTCCCTAAAATAAAATCATTGTGTAGTTATAACACGAATTTTGTTTTAGAAAGCTTCTACATTTGTGTCAGGATTACTGATGCATTCCATTTCTTTCATTTTCTGTTGCAGTGTGATTCACAGCATATTTCATTTGGCCTCCAATGATGGAGAGAAAATACCTACTATATTTTCTATTTCTCTTGCCGTTTCTAATGGTAAGCCTCCAATCCTCCGGTTTATCTTCTGCCCTATAATTATTTCTGCCTTCCAAAATACTTATAATTAATAAAGTTTAATAACCATGAAATCAAAGTTGTTAGTAGAAGCATAAATTAATTACAATTTATATGCTATCAGTGCAGCAACTATATACTTTTTTCAACTCAGAAGCTGCTTTTAGTTTTATAATTGACATTAGATAATCAGGTCTGGAAATCAAAGGGGGGAATTCACTGGATATAAACATAGAAATCACCAAGGAAAGTGATAGAGTTTGGAAAAAAATGTGGGATGGCAGAAGTATGCATTGTTTGAAATCAATTTCTTCATCCATTCATTTATTGGAGCTAAGTTTAATGTGTCTATGTACAGTCTAAATGCTGTTATGTGTTTAGATGTTATGTGTAGAATTTAAGTCCTGTTTCCTCATTTCTACGCATCAAGCATGCTAGTGAACTTCACAGGCCAGCCTATCTCCCCAAAGGCAATTTTGTAACAGACTACCAATCTGATTATTCTAATTTGAGGAACTATGATCCTTTTCTTTTAATTCATCCAGAACATTTTGTGAGTCTTAATCTTTCTTCCAAGAAAAAGTAAAAAATGATAGTGTTGTATACAGTGTCTGCATACTTCTTAAAAAGAATGAGTCATGTGTTTTTCAAAAATCTTGTCTTGAGATGAAGGTAGAGATCACTTAAAAGATGTGAGGCCCAGAGTTGAATCCCCATGACTGTAAAAGAAAGAGAGAGAAAAAGCAAATCCTCTAAAAATTACTACCTTGCTGTTCTTAATCTCCATTCATTACTTGTGCATTACTAGGGATTCATTAACCTTTATTAGGAAGTCAAAATCTATCAACAAATGAGTTAATGCTAATGACCAGGATGATGCTAAAGCATGAATGACAATCAAGGCATATTGTTATTTTGACTTTGCCAAATTTAGTTTACTGTTAGAGAACAGAAAATCATGAAGGCAAGGGAAAGGAACATCAAAAGAGAAAGGCTGATATGAGAGAGTTAATAGAATATGAAGTTGCTAAACAACATATTTATAAATGCCTCATCTCACAAATCAGGAAGGAAGTAGTATAAATTTAAGAAATAATAGAGCTGAAAATAGTGCTTGTCAAAAATCTTTATGTGAGCATTTAATTAAAACTTGAAATTTCTATTGTTATTATCAAAGTATGATGATCACTGACAATAAATTTTGAATGTTTCCCACATGCCAGGTATATTCTGTTATCATGCTGTTTTATGATTTTTAATAATAAGAAAGCAGAAGCTTGGAGGTGGGTGGTGGTAGTGAATAATTTACTTATACCTGAAGAGTACAAGCTTTGCTTGGATTTCAAAACGTATGTTTAGGATGTCCTGTAACCAGTTACCACAGCCTTCTAAACTCTAACTCTACCTCTCAACTCAGCCATTAGTGACTTTTTGATAACTGTTGAAAACTGGGCCCAGTAGGTGTATTTCTCCCATGGAAACTGTCACACTTTACCATTAGGGGATTTTCCTCCCCAGACTCAGTTTGCCATTCATCATTTCACTGCACTTCTTATTTCACTGTGACAGACTATGTTTTAATGAACACTTATATAATACTAAAGCTGATGCTATTGGTTTCCTCCCTTAGACTCCTGCCACAGCAGAGCCAGAAGAAGAAGAAGAAGAAGAAGACCCCGATGACTTAATTCAGTTGGGGGTTACTAGAAATAAAATAATGACTGCACAATATGAATGTTACCAAAAAATTATGCAGGACCCTGTTCAACAAGTAGAAGGTAACCACAGTTATTTAACCTCAGATGCATGTAATACATTCGTAAAAATCATTATGTATTTTATCAGTATGGGTTTCTTATAGCCCTTACAAAAATGAGTTAGTTGCTGTTTTTCTGCTTTATTCATTTCTGAAGAACATTTTCTGATAATTCATCTTGCTGTCTTTAAATAAAAAGTCTGCTTGTTGTGCTGGTAGCTTTGGCGTGGCCTTATCTGTGGTTATTTGGGTCATTTGTAATAAGTAGAATATGTCTAGGATATTCTTCGCGGGGGATCACAATGGCCTAATAGTGATATGGATATGACCATATGAAATGATGCTTATGGAAATGAACGCCAAGAAATGGAAGCAAGAGGTGTTTTTTTTATTTTATTGTCTACAATTTTTTTCTTTCTTTTTTCCCCTTTGGTTTATTCCCTGTTGTCACTAATTTTGATTTGTGTAGCCTTTGTCTTGTATGTAAGTTTATCTGATTTGGGGAAGGGAAGGGGAAGCACAGAGAAGATGGGACAAAGAGTGAGCCAATGCAACAGTGACACTCATTAGACACTATGTTGGAAATGAACTTTATAACTTGGGGGAAGAAGAGTGGTGGAGAGGAAAGAGGGAGAAACTGAGGGAGGGGGTAACACTGTTCAAAAGGAAATGCATCCATGATCTTACTTGTGTAACTGTAACCCCTCTGTATATCACCTAAATACAATTTTAAAAAATAAAATATCTGCTGGGCACTGGTAGCACATTCCTATAATCCAAGCTACTCAGGAGGCTGAAATCTGAGGATTGTAGTTTGAAGCCAGCCTGGGCAGGAAAGTCTGTGAGACTCATCTCTAGAAAAGCTAGAAGTATATATGTGGCTTAAGTGGTAGAGAGCTATCCTTGGATGAAAGAAGCCCTGAAGTTAAACCTCAGGACTGAACAACAGCAACAACAAATTCTAATAAAACATGTGATTCAGTAATCTTTCTATGATACAACTATACTCAAATTATCAAATAGGAGTTTGATGTTAGTATAAAGACATATCTTAAGTTGAGTCAATGAGAATTGAACTTTAGTACCTGTGGTTTGTAGTTGTTTGAAATTCTGTTGATAAGAACTCAAATATACTTAATATCTCTTTAATTACTCTCATTTGCAAAAATTATGGCCAGAGAAGTGTATTTTCATAATATATACTATGTCATATAATTATTTCTTGGCAAGGCTAGTGAGTCCCTGAATTATTCATTTGTTAACATTTGTAGAGTATCTCCCAACCACAAAACATCCTAAAAGGTTTTGGAGATATAAAGATAAGTAGCAAAAATAGTTTCCATAATTATAAAAATAGCAGGAGGCTGCATATTTTATTTAGGAGACTTACAGAATAGGCTTATGTATATAAAGACATTGTAGTTTATTCTGAAAAACTCACAATGAAACACACTGTAAACTCTAGGTAATTTCATTTTTAGAGCTATTAAAGAAAACAAAGATCTTAGAATTTAAAAAATCTCATATTAAACATCTGCATATAAATGAAATGTGAAAAGTAGAATATTAATATTTTCAAAATGAATTTGCTTATGAAAATAAGCCTTTTTATACTGAAAATCTTTTAGCTTTAATTTGACTGTATGTCATACACACGTATAAGTAAAATATTCTTTGGTTAGTCACAAGCTAATTTTATGTTGTGAAATCTATTTAAAAACTAATTTGGGCTGGGAAGGTGGCTCAGTGGTAGAGCGCTTGCCTTGCAAGCATGAGACCCTGGGTTCGATTCCTCAGCACCACATAAGCAAAAAAAAAAAAAAAAAGCCAGAAGTGGCGCTGAGGCTCAAGTGGTAGAGTGCTAGCCTTGAGCTGAAGAGCTGAAGGACAGCTCCCAGGCCCAGAGTTCAGGCACCATGACCGGACTCCAAAAAAAAACTATTTAATTATTTATCACAGGAGAGAAAACTATGATTATCCAAGATTTAAAAATAATAAATATTAACATTTAGTATTTTATACCAATATCAGACAAAAGATAAAGTTACTTCCTGATTATAGACTAACATTAGAATTTTAATTAATTTCTTTATGACTAACATATTACACACATAAAGGGTGAAAGGTTCTTTTTCTTCGTGTTGAAGAACACATGTGATTATTAAACTTTGAAAAGAAAGGAAGAGTTAGAATTGGAAGTAGAGGCCTACATAAAAAGAAAGGAAAAGTTAGAATTGGAAGTAGAGGCCTACATAAATATCATTCATAGTTCAAATGGTAAGATAGCAATATTGAACTCTTATTTATTGGTTTGCTTCTAAAGAACTAAGAATTTTCCCTATGAAAACAGTTTCTAAAATAAAACATAATCTAGACACTACTTCATGGTCAGGGAAAACCAGCAAAGGCAACTTGATTTATTAAATAAATATGTATCTGTGAGTAATAACATTAAATTTAAACCTTCAGAGTTATTTGTAAACTTGATTGAAGAACTAGTTTTTGCAATAATTGCTTGAAGAAAACATCAAGTAATTACTGTGGTTTTACTTCCTATTTTAGTCAGAGGCCTTACTTCACAGCAGTAAGAAACTTTCCTTGAGACTTTATGTCTTCCTGTGTAACTTGAGTTGGTCCTCCATCATTTTTATTTCCTCTTTAAGGGCTTTACTGCAACAGGACCTGGGATGGATGGCTGTGCTGGAATGATGTTGCAGCAGGAACAGAATCAATGCAACACTGCCCTGATTACTTCCAGGACTTTGATCCTTCAGGTAAAAGAAGAAATTTACATGAGTCTACTTAACATCTATTTCATAATCACTGGCCAGTTAAATTATTGTTTCCTTTTGTCTATTAAATTTCAAAGAAAAAGTTACAAAGATCTGTGATCAAGATGGAAACTGGTTTAGACATCCCGCAAGCAACAGAACATGGACAAATTACACTCAGTGTAATATTAACACACATGAGAAAGTGAAGGTAGGTAATAGCCATGAATTGAAACTTACTTTTCACTATCTATTTAAACAGTTAGTTGTCTGATAGAGCATTGGAAAGTATTCAGTCATGTTCCATTCCATTATAAAACCATCTCCTAATATAATTGGAACAGATCAATGAAAAAATTTGTGGGAAGAATTATGATTGATTCATTGTGTCTTTATGAGAACAGGCAATCCTATTAGGCAATACTTATTTACAAGTCAATTTTTCAGTAATGGAGTTTCCAATTTTCCAAAGGAAACATAATATTTTAAAAAAAGAGAAAACTTTCACTTGCGGTGGAATTCTAGACTACTTCAGAATTGTGCTAAGTAAACAGGACAAGCCCAGCAGGGTTTAGACCTCCCCATCTGCCCCTCCGCAGAAGACTTGCATTCCAACTGGCTGTTAGGCCACACTCATATTTCCACTTTGCACATGAGCCTCAAAGTTAAGGCTAATTATCTTTGTCACAATAATAAAGCTTGATAGAAAATGTCTGCATGCATTTGCACTGGTGTGTGTACAGGCAATCTATCAACAGTGAGTTTAACTGTGAGCCTTGTTATCTGATTTCCTTTCTCTGCTCCTTAGTCCTCTCAACTCTGAAAAAGGATAACAATGAATTTCTTCTACTGATTTTTAGAGGAATTTCTGGGGGGAAAAAGAGGACTAACTTATAGTAGTGTTCCATAACTGTCATATTTCACCTGTGTATTCAGAGGAGTGTTTGTAAAGAGAAATACAAAAATATTTTATGACATGGTGGGTTAAAATGTAAAGAAAAAGTCTAAGACCAGAAGAAAGTAAAAACAAATCTTTACAGATCACAGGACCTTATAAATTGCCCCATTAAAATTTGTATATTAGCCTTATATGAAATGAAAAGATGTACCCGACTGGAAAAAAAATCCTAATACAGAATAAAAACAAAATCAGCAGCTATCAAATTGATTTAAAATAAAAATATTAAAGAGTATAATCTATATAACATAGATCACTAAAAGCATCACTTTGTAGATTCAATGAGACCTCTTAAGTTCTTAAATGAAATGGCATGTAGTTATTAATTTTGAGCAGAATTTGACCAATTTAAATAGATATTATTCACTTTAGCTATATTCACATATTTCTTGGTTTAGAAGCAAATCATTGTAAAGTTATCAGAATTCATGTTTTCTAAAAATAGAATTTATGCTACATACATATAAGGCTGTCAATATTTAGATTACTGATATTACTCAAATTTTTTATAGACTGCCCTGAATTTGTTTTACCTGACAATAATTGGACATGGCTTATCTATTGCATCACTGCTCATCTCCCTGGGCATATTCTTCTATTTCAAGTAAGTGAATGGAAATATTTTTAAATTTTCCTACTGTCTTTGATGACTATAAATGGGCTGCGTACATGTATTATGTCATGTGCCGACAAAATGTACAAAATGTAGATGACTTAAGCCACTTAAAAGAAGCTGAAAGTTTAAAATAAGTTGAACTTTTTTTTTTCCTGGTCCTGGGGCTTGAACTCAGGGCCCTATGCACTGTCTCTGAGCTGTTTCTGCTCAAGGCTAGTGCTTTTCAACTTAAGCTATAGCTCTACTTCTAGCCTTTTTTTGAGTAGTTTATTGGAGATGAGAGTCTTACAGAATGTCCTGTCCAGGATTGGCTTCAAAACACGATCCTCTGATCTCAACTTCCTGAGTAGCTAGGATGACAGGTGTGAGCCACTGGTACCCTGCTAAATTGAAATGTTTTTAATTTAGCTTTGTAAAATATTTAGAGAAGAAACTGATAGAATACCTTCTCCTTAATTTTACAAAACTAGTAGTCATAGGAATGAAGTAAGGCCATAAGATAGGAGCTACAGACATATATAATTAATTATATTTTGCCCTAGGAACTGTTACGTATTATAGACCTTTTTACATAGTGTTCAAATTCCTGGTCAATTTAAATATCAGTATTAACCTACAGCATCTAGAATTTCATTAGACTAAGAGTATTTAATAAATTATTGAAAATACAATCTCTATCTATCTATCTATTTGGTTATCTTTTCTCTGTAGGATCATCACTATATACTTTTAAATTTACTTAAAATCTAATTATTTTTGGTGGGGGAGGCTGATTCAGCTCCAGTTTCTTGATTGATTCCATCAAAAAGTGACTTTCATACTTGAAGGAAAACTCTTATGATGATGGCTGAGTAAAAAGTAAATTATCCTTTAAAATAGCATAAAATGTAAACCTTAAGTTTTGGAAAACTCCTATAAATCTACTTAGAGAAAAAGTTGCAACTTCAGGAAAAAATGCAACTCTTAAACACTTAAAATTAGAAGTGCTAAATATACAGCAATGTCACTACTATGTTGCAGATATAGCCAGAGGAAATGAAATGAGTTGTCAAAGAACTGTTCTGCAACACTCATTGTTCGTTACAGCCACTACTCACAATAGCCAAGAGATACAAACAAGTGTCTATCCCTGGATGAATGGATGAAGAAAATGTGGTACATGTACACCATGAAATACCATTCAGCCACAACAAAAGAATTAAATCTTGTTATTCATAAAAAATAGATGTAACTGGAGATCATTATAGTAATTGAAATAAGCCAGCAACAGAAAGACAAGAACAACATTAGAACTGAAATACATACTTATCTCACAGAAACTAAGAGGGGAATGGGGGTTACCACAGCTTAGGAGAGGAAGAGTACAGACATGGAGAAAAGGTGATAAAGGAGTATCAAATAAGAATTAGGTGAGTGATGGTACACTAAGTGATTGTACACAATAATTTACTGTGCATCTTAAAAGGAATGGATTTGGAAAGTTTTTATTATGAAGAGGTGAAAAATATTTGAGGAAATAAATTTAAGCATTAAAATATGTACACATATCAAAATACTGCAGTGTAAACTGCATAAATTTTATCAGTTGAAGTAAATTTGTTTAAAAAAATAAGAATGATGCTAATCAAAATGAACTCCAAGATGTGGAAACAAGAGGTTTTTCTTTGTTGTTTATAATGTACTGTGTGAAATTATTTCTTTTTTCTTTTTTTTCATCCCCCCCCATTTTGTTTATGCCCCGATGTCACTATTTTTATTTTAGTACCCCGTGTCTTGTATACATGCTTATTTGATTTGAGGAAGGGAAAGGGAATAACAAAATGGTGAGACAAAGAACAAAGGGTGAACCAATGCAACAGCAATACTTACAAGACACTATTTACAACTTGGGGGAGAGGGAAGACAGGTGGAGGGAAGGGAAAGTAAAGTGGAAGAAAACAAAGGAGGGTAACAATGTTCGACAAGAAATGTACTAATTACCTTACTTGCATAACTGTCATCACCTTTACAATTAAATTAAATTAAATTTTATAAAATCTAAAATGATTGTGTTGAAAAGCAAGACTCAGCTGGGTGCCAGTGGCTCACACCTATAATCCTAGCTACTCAGGAGGCTGAGACCCAAAGATTGTGGTTCAAAGCCAGCCTGGGCAGGAAAACCTGTGAGACTCTTATCTCCAATAAACTACACAGAAGAGGCCAAAAGTGGCACTGTAGCTCAAGTGGTAGAGCGCTAACCTTGACCACAAAGAGACTCAGGGACAGAGCCCAGGCCCTGAGATCAACCCTAGGACCAGCAAAAAGAAAAAAGAAAAAAAAGAAAAGAAAAGAAGAAAGAAAGAAAGAGAGAGAGAGGGAAAGAAAGAAGGAAAGAAAGAAGGAAAATAAGGAAGGAAAAGAAAAGAGAAATAAATTTAAAAAATGCTTGTACTTAAGTTTACAATATTTTTAAAAAACAAAATGCACTGCTCATTTCTAAATAAAAATCTATAGTCATTACAGAGTTTGCACGTGGGGCCTGTGCTTTCATGCTGGTACTCTACCACTTGATTCATGCCTCTAGTTGAGTTTGTTTGGTACCTAATTGGAGATAAAGGCTTAAGAATTTTTCTGCCTTGATGGGCTTTGAACCTCAATACTTAGATAATAGCTTTCTCAGTAGCTAGGATTACAGATATGAGCCAATGGTGCCAGAGTTGCATCTTATAGTTGCAACTATATTCTTTTACTTTAGTTTTAATTTTAGTAAATAAATTGTTTTATAAAAGAATTATATAATCAGGGTATTATATGGCATATATCACTAACTGTCAGTGTCTTATATGTCAAGACAACTATCTAAGTGGCTAAGTCATATGACATTAATAGGTTTACAAAGATTAAATAAGCCTCTGTTTTTGAACACTAATATTTCTTCCATTTTTACAGCTTGTAAAAAATAATGCAATGGGCATTTTCAGCCATAACTTTTCCCATATTTTGCAATAGTTTTTTAGGCTGCATTCCAGAGTTTTGGAATTTCTTGGTCAAAGGACATATATCTTTTTATGGTTCTTGAAATACATCATTTCAAAAGTATCTTAAAAGCAACTTGTTCAAAACAAATTCTTAGTAACCATTTCCTCCAATTCTAAGACAGTATGGTAGATCTTAATGACAACCTCCCAGAAATGTATTGTATTTATAAGAACTTTATAATCTGTGATTCTCTTTTCTCCTCTCTCCTTTTCTCTTTTATAATCCTTTTTCTATAGTTCTTTAAATCCCTCCCATCTATCTAGTTTTCCTCAATTCTAATGCCATCAATCCTAAATTTGTCTTGTCACCTATCTATCCTTAATAAATCTACTTTACTTAGTTCTAAATACTGATACTAAAATATCATTTGCAAAGATTTGGATCAAATATAAATTTCATTTTGTCATTCTTTAAAATTTGAAATTTCCTACTTCAATTCATACAAAATAAAAAATTATTAACTTGCTCTCTTTCCTTTACCTCTTTCCTACCCAACCTAAATCTTTTGAGCCACATTTTACATCCTCTCAGTGAAATCTTCCTGAATGCCATACTGCAGTATTTTATAAACTGCAATTAATTACAGTGGACATGTGGTTAAATTTTAATTCCATTTGGGAACTTACTATCTCTGCAAATTAAAAAAACAATTACAGCTGAGAATCTTCAGATTAATTGTATCATTTTAGTTTGAATGTTACAAAAATGTCTAAGCATATTAATTTTCTAAGCAGTCGAAGTTAAGAAGTGTGCAATTATATTGCATGCTGAAACAAGTAGTCAGAAAGAGAACAATGGTCTGCTAGAATTCTGGGTGTTATGTCTCAAAATGAGTTTGAATTGAAAGGAAAGATGCAGTGAAGTCCTAGCTATTGATGTAAAGGGAAATGCAAAATTAACCAGGCTTCATCATGTGAAAGAACCTAAGATTTACAAGCATACATATTTACTGTGAGGAAATGAAGAAAGCCATGTAATGGCAAACCATGTAAACAAATGTTGAGCATTCAAGTCTAAATCTCTAGTCAAACCACTCATTCAGTTCACAATGGAACAGGACTCACTTTGTCAGAAAGAATCAACTTTTCAGGGTGGGGAAGTTTTATGTAGAATTAGTCTGTTATTTAGAAGGACAGCTTTTTTTAAAAAATAAAGACATTATATGTAATGAATATATGTATTTGTTTGTTACTAAAATTTCATTTCTTTAGGAGAGCATGCTACATAAGCAAAAGCCTTGATAATGCAAAAGAACTTTGGCCTTGTCCTCTATATAAACTTTTTTAGAAGAATGTAAATAATTACTTTTTATACTTAGAGTTTCAACTGAAAGTACATTTGACTGTTCATTCTGTAGAGTGAAATAAAAAGATGAGCTAGTACAACAGTCATGTTCTGGAATTCTAGCCTGACTTAATTCCAGTGGAGAGCCTAACAGTGATCAAAAGCTTGGAATATATATTTAATCTTGTTATCATCAAGAACACATTGTATGCACTTAGCCTAATGCATCTCTTAAATAAACTTAGTTTTAAAAAGTGAAGGCCATGATGTTTGAAAGCTACTTGGGCAAAGTATATTTACACAGTACCTGACATTTACAGACTAGTCAATAAATAATATGGGTTGCTTACTTTCTAATTAAGTGCATCATCATTTGGGCACATAAACTATTTAAGAACTCATCTAAAATAATCTTTAATATTCATCCAAAATTATCACTACAAAATAGCAATGTGAGAAATTTTTAAGCATTATTTCAGAAATATGAAGAGAAATGGAAACACAGAGGAAGGAAAGACTCGTTCTGTTTCATGAATCAGAAATGCCCAAGGCAAAATAATCATTGAACCAAACACTTCAATGAAAAGTAAAATTACATTAGGTAGAAATTGTAATATTATCTGCAGCACAGATTTATCACAAGGGTTGAAATAGTAACAATATTATTGGTGAGATTCAGTGTTAAT